TAAGGTTTTATTGAACAACATTTTTCCGGCTGGAATTTGTGATGAGATATGTAGTTATAATCTTCACTGTTAAAAATGTAAAGACTTGAGAGAAAAGGAGTATATATAGATATATAACATACAATCAAGACTACTTTGAAGATAAAGAAATCAATTCAGTAGCAGAAAAGCAAATATATGTTTTTAAAACAAGGATGGAAGCATCGCCAATAGATTTGTCTGATAATGTGAATGACCGACAAATGAGAAGAGAACTAGACATATTGATGAAAAGTCCTACACTGAAGAAAGGCATATTTCTTCAAGCGACTAAATCTTATCTAAAGAAAAACTTGGGACATACATATCAAATGCTTGAAGACCTTCACAATATAAAAGCAATAAAAAATTCTTGGATGTTTCCTAGCTTAAACCGTTATTATGAATTTAGAAATCTAGATTTCAGATTAAAAGACCTATTCAAGCTTTTCTTGCGCGAATATACTAAAGAATTATTCAAACACTATGAGCATTACATTAATCAAGATGAAATAAAAGAACACCGCACCTACAAAAAGTGATAGATACTTAAAGAAAAATACCTATATATAGTAAGTGAAAAATGCCAATGATTAAAGTTAGCGAAGAGAAACTAAAAAGAGATAGAGAAAGATTAATGAATGTCATAAAAGAAAATCCTTATCCTGATTATAACTTTATAAAATATGACCTACTACTTAAGCAAAAACAATCTTTAGAGCAATACGCAGAGTATGGAGAGATAAACCACGACCTTATGAAAAAAAAAATATGAAAACATATTTGATAAAGAATTAGTCAAAAAACACGGTGAGAGGATACACCATAGAGGAGGAATGACAGCATTACAACAAAACTATTATACACTATTGTCAGTGTTGGGATACTTGATTGACCAACGAGGACTTGATAGAGACACAATCATTTTGGTGTTCTACAACATCAAAACGATTGTTTCTCAATGTTGGTATGGAATAGGTAGTGGTGATGAAAAGTGGAGACACTAAACCTAACGATTAGTTCATAATATCTTAATAAAATATATTATGATGTAATCCACCCTAAAAACCCCTTAAAGACATAACCCCTAAAAATTGTAGAGGTATAATGACTGACAAAAAGCAGTGTTCTAAATGTAAAGTCTTTCAACCGTTAGACTAGTACAAAAATGAATGTAAGCAGTAAGCAGTGTAATAAATGTTTAGAAAACAAACGCAGATACAGGGAACAACACAAAGAAACTTTAAAACAATATGCTCAACAATACTACGAAAGGAAAAAGGAAGAATTAAGTGATAAAAAGAAAGAAACGTTGGAATGTCCAATTTGTAAATGTGAAGTAAGAAAATATACAATGAAACGACACGAAGAAAGCATCAAGCATCAAATGAACATTAATGGACACTATCTCATACACTAAAACCACAACAACCTCAACATACCCTACCCTCATCCAAACCAAACATTAATCAAACAACTCCGACGAAACATTTAGCAAGATTAACAGAAAGAAACAGTCAAATATTTAGATTTACAACATTTTTCACAAAAACATAACAACCCTCCAACCTGTCTTGTCCCAGTTTCCCTGTTTTACCATTTTTTCTGGGACATATTTCCACCGCCTCAGAGATGGTTTACACAGACCTCTGAGGTTTGAGCTTTGGACAATGATCTGAGTTTGCCCATCATCGGTTATCTTATTTTATCACGGCACGGTACCTGCGACTTTGAAACAGATCTCAGCCCAGGATCAAAGATGTTAAAGCCGGGCACCCATTTGGACGGTGCCACACCTTCCATGCAGTTAGGTGCAAAGTTGCAGGTCCATTCTTGTGGGACTGGGCCACGGCCCAGTCCGCCATTTCTTTTGTTGCTTTTGTGCTAGCCCGGTGATTCCCAACCTGCTGTCCGCCATGTCATGAAACCATCTGTAAAAAAAGTAACCCCGCGACTTCAAAGGTGGACGGCAAGTGGGACACGCCATCTTTCGGTGAAGCTGCATTGCAAAAGTTGGTCCAACGGATACTGTCTATAAAAGACCGGTTCAAAGCTAGAATACCATTCAGTAATCCCACATTGAAGACGCCCCATGGATGCCATGGCCCCAAAATGAATCTGTCTATAGATAGATAGTTGATGATGGATGGATGGATGGATGGATGGATGGATGGATGGATGGATAGATATATCGATAGATCAATTAGATCGATCGATGGATCGATGGATAGATTGATCCATGGATATATCGATGGATGGATGGATGGATGGATAGATAGATAGATAGATCCAATACAAAAACCAAGGATCTATTGGTGTAATTCAACATCCATGGCGAATGGGAGGAACTTTTTTGGTGCGAGGAACTGATGAACTTCCCTTAAGCACCTGCTGTAGCTTGCAATCTCCAGATCTCTTTGTCTAGACCTCTGTCAGAAGAATGGATGTTTCATATGTTTTAATAGAATGTTTATGTATTATAAATAGATGTTTATCCTATTAATGTATAGTTTATGTATGATCGAGCTACCTAGAATGTCAAGAATGTCTATGTTGAATGTTGAATGTGTTTTCCAGTATGTTTTACACAGATTACACAGCTTCGGGAGGTATTTTGCAAGGCAGCATCTTGCAGTGTAAAAACTGCGATAGCTTGCGGCTCTCAGTGGGCTCAGCCAGCCGTGGTTTCATGCGCCCGCCAGTGGCGCCACTTTCAGATATCCTCCGCGACAGAAATGCCGCCCGGGATCGGACACGGACCCATCAATGGGGGGACCCTAATAGCTGGATGGTTGATATGGAAAAGCCCTATTCAAATGGATGCTGACTGGGGGTATCCCCATGTCAGGAAACCTCCATATATGGAATTATATGGATATATGATATATCCACCATTTTGACATCCAAATAAACCATCCATAGTATCATGGATTTTGGACAGCTACTGTAGGTTATTTCGCAATTTATTCGCCACATGGATCTGGGAATCTGAACGTAAAACAGGTAAAGCGCCCCGTTTGTGGATGACAGGTGCTTTCCATGTCTCCCATATTCTCCCATATTCTGCATGTATGGAAGATTTACTGGCATTTCTATGTAATGTGATACCGAGCCATACTAAAACACAATTAAACATAGTTCAATTTATTCTCCACCATACACCCAAGCTGTTCGAGTTTTGTAACTCAACTTAGCTAGCGAAGGATGTCCACATATCCCCGTTGTTGATTGTTACTTCAGTTAAATCCCATGAAATTCCATTGACATCACCACTAGTCAATGACCATGGGGATAATATCCAAGTTAAGATATAAATTCCATTGATAGGAAATATTGGATCCCATTATATATTCATACCAACACCAGGACTAACATCCCCATTGACATCACCATTGTTCACTCTTACTGGTGATTGACATTAAGCAAAGTGGTAAATAACATTCACATCACCATTCATATTATCAACAGAAAGATCTTACCTTTCACTGGATTGGTTTAAGGGGACATTGGAACCGGAACACCCTATATTTGATGGTCAGGACCAGCCAGTTTCCGGTTTTCAGATTTTCCCAACAAAACCATTCCATTGATGTTGAGCTGGGTTGATCAAGAACGGGATTCCCGGTTCATGGATGATGATAACCCCCAATATATAAAGGTCTATTATATATCCCATAGGATCCATGTATGCTATATATGGTAACATTTACCATCAATATACCCCCAATGTTAGCATATATACCATACATGGATCCTATGGGTATAAAGGATCTATTATATATAAAGGATCTGTTATGGTTCCATCTATTATTGACATTACCACTCAGCTTGTCCAATGCGATCGCCCTTCGCAGTCGCAGGCTGCAGCTCTCCTTCGCTGCCCACGACTCATGCGTCAGGGGGCCCGGTCTCGCCCATGGATGGTTAAGTGGATCATAGTGGATCCATCTTGGGGGAAATCTTTGATGATATCTCTGAGGTATGAAACCATAGGGAAACCATAGGGAAACCATAGGAAAACCATAGGGAAATCATAGGAAAACCATAGGGAAACCATAGGGAAACCATACGAAAATGGAGGTTTACCCTCATTGGATTAATAAACTGGCTGGTGGTTTCAGTCATTTTTTATTTTCCATTTCATATATGGGACAATCCTTCCCATTGAAGTTCATATTTTTCAAGTTGGTTAAAACCACCAACCAGAAAACGTAGAGATTTAAGTCTGAATTTATGGGTTGAACATGTTGAACATAGGTCCAGTGAATGGTAATTTCGTGTGGTTTTGTTTTGGTTGCTAAGTGGTTGATTTGGGAATGCTGCAGGTCGGGCAAAAATATCCTAAGAATACACATCACCCCAAAGACCTGCTTTGGTATGGTATTGGACGTATTCAGGTGGCCCATATGGTTGTTATTGAATATTAGGGGGATTGACTGAAGGTGAAACGATACCCATATGGAGAGCAAGAGATTTCACATCGAACCAGAAGTTGGATCATCGATCCTGATACAGGACGTGGCATATTGAAGCGAACATGTTCAACACAACCTACGAGGTGGTGCCCAACTCGTTAGCTAAGCTGGTCTGTAATCCCTATTGACGAGTTCGATATGAATCTACCATAAACCCAACCTTAACTTAACGGTCACGAACTTGAGCACCACCTTGTAGAATTCCCACATTGGGGTACCTATTATCCTTCAGAACTTTCCCAGGGCAGGAGCGACCTCCAGGTATAAGCCACGTCTGCCATTGAAGCTTCATCACAGGACGACCTGTGGATTGGATCACATTTGGCGGTTCCCTAAAATAGGCCTACCCCAACTTAGTGACCTGAAACAACCTGCAGGTGACGACTGGGGTACCCCATGACTTAGGTGGTTCCCTACATGTTTTTTGGTTGGGATTGGAGCCCAAGGCCCCATTCCAAGTCCCCATTCTGTCCCCAATCTCCTGCGATCTCCTGACCGCATAGTGTGACCATGTCGCCATGGCACAGTTCTTGCTCGTGCTGCTGGCAAGGCTTGGTGCCATGGATGGAAACCGGCTTGGTGGCCCTTGTTCGTCCCGTGGGTGCAACTATCTATGATTTCATGAATGTTAAATGCCATACGAATTAATCATCTAGATTTAATTTATTTAAAACTGCAGTTTTGAAATATGTATCTACCCAACAAATCAACCAGCGATGTAGATAAATTGCAGATTCAGATACGTATACCAGCACCATGGAGCATGTGGGAAGCATTGTGATTAACTATAGCAACTAATTCTGGAAAATCTTCCAAATGCATCGTCTTACTTGATTTCAATTAATTCCTTCTCAGTTATTTAGAATGTTCTACAAACCCTTTGATAATCATGGCTAGCTGGAACAACTGCCCAGTTACCCTCTAGTTATTTAACATAGCTATAGAAAATGGTCGATTTATGGATGATTTACCTGTATTGTCCTATTAAGAATGGTGGTTTTCCATAGCTATGTTAGTCAAAACCAGGGGGTACTTCGATGAATTTGCTCACGAAGTCCCCATTTGCCAGCCATCGCAATGATGACACTGGAGGCTAAATCCAGAAAACTATCCCATTCTTATCCCATGATCATCGATTCCTATTAAACCAACAAAAACAGATACTAAACTACCATGACATCTCCATTTATAGGGAGATTTCCCATTCAAGCTTCCATTTATAGTGGGATTTTTCCTATAAAACCATAGAAATATCATCAAATATCTAAAGAACAACATATCCAACTAGCATTAAACCTCCATTTCTTTACACATGGATCTCCTCTCAACCTGTCCATCCTTGTGGCCCCTTGGCGCCCAGATCCACCGCCGAGCGCCCGGCAGATCTGCTGCGGGCAGCGGTGGATGAGGCTTCGCTGGAGGCTGCAGAGTTGGCCCCGGCTGCCTCGGATGCCAGGCGCGGGGATTTGATGGGGGGAAATTTCATCGGACTTAGCCAGTTGATGGGAGGAACATGATGGTTTTTCCATGGTAATTAGTTTGTATATATATATATATATACACATATATATATATATGCTGATCGATCTAAAGGTCCTTGTAAGGAGTTTTAATTGCGAAAGCCGTTCATGTTATGTTGGAAACCCCCGCGACAGTTTTTTTTCAGTGCACCCCCTGCTGATGGCCGGGGTCTGTGAATAGGGATATTTTCGCGAAAGTTCCGCGAAAGTTATGCGAAAGAGCGGGCGAAAGTCAAAGTGCAGGTTGAAGGGGGTGGGCCAGTAAACTTTGCAAAAAAAAATGTGTCCTGAGAAGGGATTCCGTGATGCTAGCTGCATGTTTAAAAGGTTACCAAGAAGTGATCCGTGATTCTCTGGCATAATTTGGCAGGTGGTGAACGAATCTTCATAAGAGGTGTTGTTGGCCAACATGGGCCCCGCGAAAGATAAACATGGAGTTCGCGAAAGTTTCGCGAAAGTATTTTTTTTATTCGCGAGGAATGGCCCTTCCGGGATAAAGGAATTTTGATCAACAACCATATTTGCTGTTGTTAGATGGCTGAAGAGAGGGATATGACTGGGATGATATATGATGTTGCTTGCTGAATTAACTTATATTCATATCTACCATAAACTATAGAAGGACCCCAAGGTTTTGCGGTTATGTTTACCATTGTTTACCGATTTGGCTAAGTATGGGACACCACCGATTGTGGATTGTAATTGCCTGGATTTCCCACTAGAAAATCAACCGCTTGGGAATCTATCGGAATCTGGTGATTTTTTATCAGTTTGCTATGGAAAATCACGATTTGAATACGAAGATGATTTATCAACAAGCAAAATTGGCCATGGCTTCCATAGCAAACTGTTAAAGAACCAGAAGATAGATGTTGCGGTCACCCCCCCATTGTTAGGGAAATCTTACTAAACAGCGTCCCCATTTATTAATCTAAATACTGTTCAATATTCAATAGAAACACATGTGTGTTTCCTATAATTATATATATATATATATATAAAGAATATATATTTATTATTCATACATACATATATATATATGTATATGTATATATATACATATACATATATATATATATATGTGTATGCATATATATATATGTAAATTTGGAGAGTTTGACACTGGTTTTGGGGTCATTGAAGGGAGACAACAATCCCTTACATTTCGCCATAATTTAATCATTCTGAAGATTTATATTCATAATTTTGTTTGCCTTATATGTATGTACATATATATATATATATACACACAAAATATGTTCTTATATGTATATATATAGCTCTACGTATGGTAGATGTACCTACATGACTAGCTGATTTCGGGTGTGAATTTTGACACATATCCCATTCATGGAGCATATGCGTACACATATATATATATATATATGTATTTTTATAGCATATTGTAAGTATGATAATATCCATATATATATATATATATATATTTATAAATACATATGGCATATATCTATATATGCCGTATATATATATATATATATATACATATACACATGTTATAGACCAAAACAAGTCGTACCAAAGACTTGCTGGAAAAAAAGATATGCATGATATGTGTAAATCCCTCATCTTCTAGTTACCTGTCAGATAGCTAACCAACCCCAAATCAATCCAAATCATATGCGATCGGAAAAAGATAGCCACCCTATACTCAAAGAGAACTGGATATCATATACGCTAGACGCATTTATATACATGTATATATATATATATATATGCGTGTACACAATACATACACATATAATCAAATATACACATAGAAGGGTGAGGCCCCTGACTTATTTTTGTTGGTTCAAAAAACACTCCATTAAGTCTAGTTTTGCATTCCCCAAATCACCCAAATCACAAAATTAGTGCGTCAACTTAGCTATTAGGGGGCCTTTCGTCATATATATATAATATAGTACATATATGTATTATAATACCTATATACAGCATTCTACATATATATATATATATATATGTTTCTTATTTACAATACATTATATATAAAATTATATAAATATCATAATATTTATGATCCAAAATGGATACCCGTCCCAGGCCCTCCCGGCCTTCCTTAACGCCGCTGCCGTTGCCCCCGAATCGCTGGGATCCCACGGCCGCGCGTGCCGCGAGCGCCGCGAGCGCCGCGGCGAAAGCCATCGCCTCGGCGGCGAAAGACGCGGCGGAAGGGGCCAGCGCTGCATTGAAGGCGGCCTCTTTAAAGTGGTTCATGGGATTTAATGGGATTTTAATGGGATTTTAATGGAATTTTAATGGGATTTTAATGGGACTTAATGGGATTTTAATGGGATTTTAATGGGTTTTAATGTGATTTAATGGGATTTGATGGGATTTAAATGTGATGTAATGGGATTTAATGGGATTTGATGGGATTTAAATGTGATTTAATGGGATTTTAATTGGTTTTAATGGGTTTTCATGATTTTTCAGAGTAGAATGTTGCACTGAAACTTAAGATCTTTGCGAAATCCAGCCACCTTTTCCCTCATGTTTTTTCTACAATGTGGGGGCCCCGCGATTATAAGTGGGCTTATGAACCCCGTGAGAGAGAGAGATATATATATAATATATATATATATAATTATATAAGTTTCATAAACCATAGAAGGGCTATAAGTTGGTTTATGAACCCCCAAAACAAAATAATGATCATCATAAACCATATAGTGAAATTGGAGTTACAAGGTGGTGCCCCCAAGATAGCTAAGTTGGTTTATAACTCCAATAACTATGGTTTATAGGTGATATATCTATAGTATTCATGGGGTTTATAAATCAACTAACATCACTGGGGGGCACCACCTTGTACAGCCATTTCGTCACTGTTTGCGGCAGTCCTTCGCAGGACGTCGGCGTGGCCGGCGTGCCCGACGCCATGCCGTCGGGCACGCCGAGTTTGGGGCTGTCGGAGGAGGTCGCCGCTTTCGTCAAAGCCGCCAGAGCCAAAGAATGGCGACCGGACCCGAAGGCCGGCTGGGGTGGTATTAGTTATATTATCACTGGTTGGTGGTTTGGAACATGTTTTTTTCTCCATAATATATATGGGATCATCCTTCCCATTGACGAACTCATATTTTTCAAGATGGTTGAAACCACAAACCAGTCTAGTTTTAGTTATATATACAGTGGATAATATTATTATATAGGTATTACCACCATACACTGGATAATAGTCGTCTAATAACTAATTGTTGGTATAGCTATATTTATTAGTTATATCAACCATGGATCATATAACATGGTGGTATGTAATGGTATGATTAATACATATAATTGACAGTGGATAATCCCCATGGCGGATCTAGAGAACCATTAATCTATTAGTGCAATAGTGGATATTATCGTTATATATACAGTATATGTATATATATATATGCCAATTTTATCTTGGGTATATATATATATATATATTATCCATATGTATTAAAATATATACATTGGGTATATGATGTATTAATATTCATTATCCATTAGGTATAGTGATTTAATGTACCAGGATTATTATGTTACCAACGGATATATAATGATAATGGATATATACCAATGGATAATATACTAATTGGTTTAACACTAGTGGATAGTATACCAATAGTGGATATGATCACGATATCAACAATCGTATGGTATGAAGTTGTTGTGGGCCAAGTTTTCAAGGGGACTTGAAACTTGTTAATTTAGTATGATATTGGAATATTGGATATATATCTGGGTAAATTATAACGACCTCACTGCGACCTCACTGGAATCATGGTTAATAAGGGAAATCATGCCCAAATGGCCTCAATTCAGGTTAGTGAAATATTATAATTTACCCAGATATACATATATATATATTCTATATTGTTATTTGTGTACGTTGTTCAAGTCTGGTTGAGGAGTTGGGTGATGCAATCCTTGTATGCAAACATGCCCCCCAAATGGGCGAAACACTTCCACTCCGTTTTTTTCTTGTACTTTGCTACACTCTTCCAGAAAAAAAAACAACACATTCGATCACATCCGTATATGATTCCATTTGTTCTGACATCATAAGATAGAGGCATAATAAGGCATAATCATTCCTAGTCACATCTCATATCCCAGCAAACATTTCTCATGCCTCCCCAAGGTGTTCTCCGTGCCCTGTTTTCATCGCCATATCGCCAGGCCGAAATCTCAGCTGAACGAGGTGATCAAAGCGCCGTCTTACGACGGGAAGCGCATCGCAGATGGCAAAACTATTTCAAGATGGCCGCCAATCGACTGGAAGCCCCACGAACAGGTGGGGCTGGTAGGACCTATAAAATGGCCATTGTTCATGGGGAATTGCACATGACCATGATGGATTTTACACGATTTTACCCTGAGATTTGGGGAGTTGTTCCCACTTTTGACAAATGAGGGTAGCTGGAGCTCTACCGTTGAAAATTTGTGGGTGTAACCTTTGAGGTTTGTTGTAAATTTTCAAGTCTGGGAGGTCTATTCCTTTGTTGTCGGGTATCGAAAGGTATTTGCATTCAGTACCATCTGGTTGGTGGTTTGGAACATTATACAATTTTATTTTTCCATAATAATTTGGAATAGTCTGACTTTCGTGGCTCAACCACCAACCAGCCATTCATCAGGATCAGATGATCCAACTTTTTCCGCACTTTTTTACGGCCAAAATCCCTATGAAATCCCATGATGTCACTCTCAAAATTTTCTGGGTATAATGACCTCACGGTTCTCCCGAGCCCTGGAATAATGATTAGTAAAAGGGAACTATCCCCTTTTTTATTTCCCCAATGATTTTGGCTAGCAAAATTTTAATTTACCCAGCCCCATGCTGTTCGTTGTCTATTTCTGTCAGTTTCTTTGACGGCGTTTGCTCATGTTTTAGGATTTAAGACCTGTTTGGCCTTGGTTTGTGCGGGGGTCGAGCAGGGTCAGGAAAGATTGTGGCCTTATTTCAGGATAGTGAACTATTACAATTTACCAAGATTTTTCCAATGGAAAATTTCCAGATTTCCGTCCATGTTGCGAGGAGATGCTGTAGAGGAGTATCATTTGCTCTATGAGGTCCTTGCGATTGCTGGGCTCTGTCCTTCTATCACTGGGGAAATATGCATGTGGACTTTCCTACCAAAAATGCGTGTTTTTTGCATTTAGATAGGGACTTGACATAGTTTGACCATCTGGGAGATTGCAAAGGAAAAACAATGGGCAGTTACTGTGAATGGTTGCACCCTTTGGTAAACAAGCTTGGCAATGGAACGACCAAAGGGTACCTCCTCAGCACTAAGAATATTGGGAAACGGCAGAAGATATCCCTTCATTGGTTAGTTTGGAGGGGGCCCTGCAAGATTGGCAATGTTTAGGCAGGAGTCGCCGATAGGTTGCATCCTTGGGGTCTGTTCAATCGCGCCACCCGGCAGGTTGCAGTGCCCTTACACCTAAAGCCAATCCAAACACCAACATTCCAAGTTGAACCAAAGTTAGTGGTGCAGTTTATCATATCTTATCAAAACACAGCTAGACCCCAGAAACATGGGGCAACATACTGTGGATGGTTGCGAAATCCTGCGCCACCAAAAGGATGGTTGAAAGCCAAACAAAATAGTGGGATGTTTACCACCTATCAACCTATCAACTGGTGATTCGGATTTCGCAACCATCCACAGTGTTGGTTTATAGCCCCCCACTAACTATAGTTATGTTGTATCTACCGCAAACCATCAATAACCAGAATTAAGCCACTTATAAACCATAGCCCATATGCCCCATGTATGGCATATTTATTAACATTTACCCCAAAAATGGCCCAGTTTTGTAGGTAAATATTACATACATGGAGCATATGGGTAATTAATGCACCATAATTATAATCAATTAATTACTGTATGACTTGGGGACCTGCCATTGGAGCCTGGTAGGTCATCAATCAGATCATTGCTGGTTTGCAGTTGGCAGCTGATGCGTCTCAAGGTTGGGGTTTATGCCGCCGGGCCGTGGGTCGTGGGGCCCGCGGTTACTACGAAATGGCTGTAGGTTGGTGAACATAACTCCAACCAATGATGTTTATAACTATGGGTCATAAACCAACTTAAAACTGGGAGGGGAGCCCCACATTGTACCCCTGAGTATCGAAATGATATCTGGCCATACCTTGGGGTCTCTCCAAGGTATGCCCCCTTTTTGAGACCAAACCATTTGCACCTATACCATCTATACCGATACTGAGTCAACGGGGGCATTCACCATTGTTGATGGTTAAATAATATCAAGTCATGTTAAGTCAACATGTTAAACCAGCATCTTGCACCATTTTTGATGATGAAACCACCATTGTTTCATCATGTTTTGATGATGAGACCACCATGTTCCCACCATTTTCATATTTTCCATATTAAACCGCTGTCATTTGCCATGCCCATCGCTCATCATTATACCGTTTTCTATATATATATAACGATATATATATATATATTATATTATGTCATTATATACCATTATTCTCCCATTAATACACCATTGGTATACCACTAAGATATACAATTAATATACCGCTAGTATCCACTATTATTGTTGGTATCATCCACTATTGTTGGTATTATCCATTATTCTTAGTATTATCCATTAGATTATACACTATTAGATTTTATCATTATGCACTATTAATTGGTATATCAATATTGTAAGTATAATATTATCCCATTATAGTCCCATTATAGCCCCATTATAGTACCATTATAGTCCCATTATAGTCCCATATTCAATATATCTCCCGTTACCCCATCATTATCCCCCCTATGGATCCAAATACTTTCTGAGAAGGTACTTCACTCCCCAAATCATATGTCATAGGTCAGTCATATTTCCTGAGAAGGTATGGCTGGATCCATAGGGCCTATTAGTGAGTCCCATTATAATCCCATTATAGTCATTTATAGTCCCATATTCATATTCAATATATCTTCCTTTATCCCATTATGATCCCATTATACCCATCAATATTGTATTATTGTTGTCCACTATTGTTGTCACTATATTATATTATGTCATTATATACCATTATTCTCCCATTAATTCACCATTGATATACCACTAAGATATACAATTAATATACCGCTAGTATCCACTATTATTGTTGGTATCATCCACTATTGTTGGTATTACCCATTATTCTTAGTATTATCCATTAGATTATACACTATTAGATTATATCATTATGCGCTATTAATATTGGTATATCAATATTATATAATATTATCCAATTATAGTCCCATTATAGTCCCATTATAGTCCCTATTGTTATATCCACTATTGTTGGGTCTAAACCACCCCCATCTCTTGGCAGGTCGAGGCTCAGAACTCAGCCGCGGCTTCGCGCACGTTTCGCAGCTGCTGCGCGTCTTAGAGCACCGTAGCCGCGGCACCGCCTTCGAAAACGAGGACGAAACGACGGGAGAGGGGCACAGGTGGAGGCCAATTTTGGTGGAAAAATGCAGGTTTATAACATTTGAGAACTAGTTGATGTAGGGTTTATGGGGATATTTTGGGGATTTATCGTGATTTTATGGTGATTTATGGTAGATAACTGACTACGATTTTCCAGTGGTAAAATGGTGATTGAATATGATTCCAGCAGCAAACATGGTGAAGCAGAGTGGTTGAAGCAATAATTTCACCATGGACAATGGAGATGGGTGTAGCTGAAAACTGGTTATATTAAAATGCCCCAATTCATGGCAAACCTGGACCCCTATTATATGTTTATCTATTTTTCAGATTCGATGTGAAATCTAGGGGTGTAATGTCCGAAGCAAGTGTCGTTGACTTTAACCACAACACATGTGAATGTTTGATGGTTCAAAATCATCTTAAACCCCCAAATCATCGTGAATCATATCGCATCATATAGCCCATATGCTCCATGTATGGAACATAAATGTACCACAGATGGAACATGATGGAATGTATGTGTACAAGGTGGGACCCCCCAGGTATGTTTGTTGGTTTACAAGCCCCATGAACATCCATTGACTAGTTATAACTGGTTGGTGGTTTAGAACATTTGTTCCCATCATATTATTGGGAATTTCATCATCCCAACTGACTTTCACTCCATCATTCTTCAGAGGGGTTGGTTGGAACCAACCAGGTGATGATCCCATGATATACAACAAACCCAACACGAAACTTCACGAGGTTTCGGGCCCAATCTTGGTGGCAAACTCTATGGGGGTTCCCCCAAATTACCCCATTGATCATTCATTTACGTTCGGCTTTTCCATGATAAGCTAGCTTATTGGGGATCAACATTTATGGTTTATATGGATGTTTATGGTGGATATATCCATATAATTCCATATATGGAGGTTTCCTGAAATGGGCGTACCCCTAAATCATCCGTTTATAGTAGGATTTTCCATTATAAACCATCTATTTTGGGGCATCCCTATGTATGGAAAACCCCATATATCTATGGAAACCACCATCTTTTGCTGCAGGACTTCCTGCACCAAGCCTATGCTACGGCCTCGTTGGGCTGCGGTAACCGACCCTTCGAGGATCGCTTCTGCGACCGCGCGCAGCTCCAGCGGTGGTTACGGGCGAATGACACGAGTCTCGACAGGTCGGAGGAGGTGGCAGAGTTTGAAGACAGCTGCTGGGTGGAGTCGGTTAGAGCTGTTTGGTGTTTTTGGGTGTTTCATAGGGGATTTTTAAGGAACCAAAGAATATGGGAGATCAGAATTAGAGTAGGTTTTTGTTTGGGTTCCATGGGGGTTTTAAGGAGCCAGAGAATACGGGAAGATATTTTTTTGGGTTTTTTGTTGGGGGATGGTGGGTTAGAGGACCAAACAACTAGAAAGTGCAAGAGAGGGAGATGATGATCACCAATCAGACTTGGTATAGCTGCTGATTTAAAATAGACAATATGTCTTCATGCCAGAAGAAGAACACTATTTCACTCTTTCATTGACTTTCATTGACTTTTGCCCGGTGTGTGCAGCTCCTTCGCACGTCTAGGCTGGCTGAAGTATTTGGACCTGGGCTTTGCCAAGGGCCTTTGGCGAAAACTCTCGGATCAAAGTCAGACCTTCAACCCATCAGAGGATGAGGAGAAGAGAAGCTTGTGGCAGCTCTTTCCAACCTATATCATGGCTAAGGACCATAGGGCTAGTTAAGGGAGGATCACAACTCAAGATTGGGACGATGTTCATGTGTCACAAATATATTGCGTGCCTTGAATTTTGTGGGTTGAATCCCACTTACAGCACCATGATGCTTGCGTAGCAAATCTGCATCGGTGCTAGTATCTACACCTGAAAAAACCAGATCATCTTATGAGTGGCTATGGTTGCGTTTAAGATTGTTTAAGCATTCACGTCAACATCCAATTGTTGGTCATCATGTTACCCTTTAATTTCTGAGCAGACACAGTTGCACTATTCAGTGATTAGATATGGATAAATAGGGTTACAATTGGTTACATGTGGTTGCACAAAGTTGAATATGTTAATTAAATGAAATTACTGTAAGTATGGTTGAACATTGTTGATTTCACTATAGTTTATGGCTTAAATCATTCTTCTTTCTGGGGTACATCACCATTTTCAATCCCTGCCCGCAAAAATCGCAGGATCTACGTCAGATGTTTTCATCATCTGGACCTGTTTGCAGGGCCTGTCGTCATTTGACCGCCGTGGTGCTGGAGAAATATCACCAGTTCCGCGCCGCCAATTTTGCCGATCCCAGCAAACCAGATGAGGTGCGGACTGGATGGTGGCCGGTGGCCTCTCTAGTTTTGGTCAACCTTGGTTAAAGACTTGAATACTTCAAAATTTTGCTGTCAATGGTAACATGATATAAATTGTGCTAACCAGCTAAGAAGACATTTTTTTTGGCAGGTATGTAAGGGGAGTTAAATTGCAGACAGAATGGGTGGTAACTCTCCCAGACTAGCCGAACTGTTGAGGTGAGTGCACTCGTATAGTTTATCCAGGTTAAATGGATGAACCCCCGAATACCTAAGGTTGAACAAAGATGGAAGCATCCGGCAAAATGGGGAAATCAAAGGATACAAACCAACTAAAAAAGGGAACATATACCCCAACTTGGTTGATACAATGAACATGAGGGAAAAAACATCACTCAGATAGAGAATGCACATCCTGAGAAATATGTAACGTTTGGTCTTCAGAATCAAAAAAGGCACATGAGTGCAGCTAATCCCTTCCCCTAATATTGAGCAGCCCCTTAGAAACCATGGTTTAGGGAATTTCCACATAATTGGGACCATACAATTGGGGTGTTTAATATTAGGGTGATGGGATTATTATTTAGTCTCGTGTAACCTCCGATAGACATAAGAGATGAAACATTCAAGGTACTATCAAACCATGCTGGGCCAAAAACCCATTACATCCATATCTATTTTCCATCATTTCATAGCTTGAATGTTACACAGATACTAGGTCAATCTTACATGGGTACTTTAATCCTTTAGTCTTTTGGTATTAATGGGAATATCTACTAACCAGCAAAGAATTTATTTGTTTGCAGGGTATCTAAGATCGGCAAAGGATATAGACAGGTACTTTTACCACTGTTTCTTGTAGGATTCTTTGATTGCTTCACTGGCTTGGTGGTCGATTATACCGACGACCCACAATGTGGGGCCCCTTCTTCGATAGCTCAGTTGGTTTATGAATCCCATGAAGACTATTTAGTTATAAGCATCATAAACCCATAGTTTTCTTGGAGATATGGTAGGTGGAAGAAATCCTGCACCACCTTGGATGGTTGAAACCCTGTAAATGATGGGATAAACCATCAACTGGTGATTCGGATTTCGCAACCATCCACAGTATCTTCACCAACTTTTAGCGATTTCGTAAACGTTTTACGGCCCCGTTGCAGGTGAACAACGCCTTCTTCACATGGCAGTTGACGCACCATGCGGAGCAGAGTGCGGAGAAGGGTCAGGCCTTCTGGCCAGAACTGCGTCCTGGCGTGGCGTCTTTTTTTTTGGGGAAAAAGTGAAGTTGTAACTATATCAATTTATAATACAGAAAGTAACTAGATCCCCATATATATATAATATATATATATATCAACTTATATATATATATATGGATGGTTAACTAGTAAAGTAACTAGATCCCCATAATACAGAAAGATCGATCCTTTCATTTTGCTTGTCAAATCCAATTCTGGTTGGTGGTTTGGAACATGGAAAAATATAGGGAAAATGGTGGTTTAATGGTGGTTTAATGGTGGTTAATGGTTGTTTATTATTATTATTATTATTTTCCCATCTATTGGGAATAGTAATCCCAACTGACGAACTCATATTTTTCAGAGGGGTTGAAACCACCAACCATATATATATAGTTAATTCTCATAGTAACTAGTATATATGAATTGTATAACTAGTATAGTAACTGCTGTATATGTCATATGTGATAACTGTATATGTGATAAGTATATATGAAGTGTATATGTAGTTAACTAGTGTAGTAATTAGTTTTTGTACTTCACTATAAGTAACTACTATACAGTAACTGTATGCGTGATAACTATACTAACTACAGATAACTATAGTATATAGGTTTTCCTATGATTTCCTATCATTCATAGTCAATGCGGGTAAACCAATGCCATTTGCACCATCCCCCAGTCATCACCATTATAGGTGGTATAAACTATAAACTTACCATTCCCACATTATAGGTGGTTTATGGCATTGTTTTACCCACATTATTGAATCAGGGTGCAAGAGTTTGATTTGTTCATCTATTAGATTCTAGATATTTCTAGGTTACAATTTACAATCACTGTATTTTCTGTGATATTGTAGTTAAGTTATAAATGTCACGCGGTGCACATCATCCATTAATCATTAATCAATGGATTGGGTTTGTTGGGAACATCTTCACCGGAAACCATCGATTTTCCCATCAAGATTATGGGGTTTTCCATTGAAACATCTCCTCTTCATCGGAGACGGGTAGGGACCCGGTTTCAGCGAGGTATGGGGATGCCACATTCCGGCAGCTGAAAAGTTTGGTGAAGACATCCTGTGTGGAATACCTGCAACTGGATGGCAAGTCAGAGGTTGTTTTATATGTTTTATGCTCAGTAAATATACTATACATCTGGGTCAATTGTAACGACCGAAGCCTGTAGTATAGGGAAATCATCCACAGCCGCAAGTTTCAGATTAGTGAAATATGATCATTTACCCAGATACATCGGTGTTAGTTGAATTCGTTGTTCCTAAGTGAGTCCTAGTAGCCAGTACTATCCAATACTGTCAGGACCAACTGTGAATCGACCAGGCCATGGTCATATCTCGGTTTCTTCTTCGCACTATCGTGTCATACCACGTCAGATCCAGCATGGATTAGGCAGGAAAATAGAATATAGACGAGTTTGACTGAAGAACATGAGCAATACCCAATTCCCTTGATTTATGTGTTTCTCTTTTAATCAGCGATTTTGCGGCATATCGGTATATCCAATTTTTTGTCATGTTGGAATAAACCCGTGTCATATATGATTGGTTCATATGTGCCATTATATTCCCATTCTATCCCCATGAAGTGCAGGAAACCATTGTTTTCACTCATCTCACTATGACGTTTGGTTCCTTCCAACCTGCCAACCTTTAAAGCATGGCCCCACCCCAACCAATTGCCATCATCCGTGCCATGGTCCCTCCAGCAAAAACGGCGGCGAAGGGTAGATTGCTTTAACATGCTTTAACGAAAAAACATGCAGAATGGTGTTTGTTTTCCATTGCTAAGGTCTCCTGAACCTGAACCAATCCAGAATGCATTACCCTATGTGCTGAATGAGATGAAATCTACTACTGCTTGGTGAAACATCCCACATGGGTGTGTCTGAAACTATCTTTCTGTTTGAGGAAACGATGGTAAACCATCAATATTTGCGGTTTTCCCATATTTTCCCCGAAAAAAAACATCAGACAAATCTGTGTCCTTTTTGCAGTGTTTTTTCATAGAAAACAACACCATGTGTAGATGTTTTTCCCCACGGAAACCAGAGTTTTTTTCACATCTTTTGGCTTCTTTTTGTATGTTTACAGGAGGGGAGCAACCATTCAATCCCATTCAATCCCTTAAATCCCATTAAATCCCCATAACCCTCCTTAAATCCCACATGGCTAGTCCCTTTTTGAATTTTCAGCCTCTCAAATAAGGCAAGAAATCTACAGCTCAACATTTTCCTCCTCAGACTTCGACAGCTTGGAACTCTCCATTTGGGCTTCCGTGACATCGCCTGCGGCGGAATCGATGCTCGTCGAGCTCGAGTTTCGAGAACCGAATTGGGCGGGCTGGAGATATTCGGAGATATCTTCCAGATTGTTCCAGTTGAAAATTGGGAGAGTGGTTGAGGATTTCTATTTTTGGTCGTTTAGAAATCGAGGATTTCTTAAAACAGATCTACAGTTGGTCCGACTCCGCCTCTCCATTGCCCTGATTTTGGTCGGCTTTATCTGTTTTTTTTTTAGTTCCACTTTTTTTGCCCAAATCTGGCCTTCAGAAGGAGTAGGTATGTATCACCAGTTTTCGGCAGATTGTAAATAACTGGTACCCGAGTTTCTAATAGCGACATAAGCTTGGACAACCATTTATTCCCTATAGTTCTAGGTCAATCTTAGATGGATACTTTAATCCTTTAGTCTTTTGGTATCAATGGGAATATCTACTAATCAGCAAAGAGTTTTTTTTCAGGGTATCTAAGATTGGCCAACCATTTATTCCCTATGTTCACACTGCTAACTAGTAGCATTCAATCACCCCAGCTCTGAATCCTCACCATCGAAGTGCCTGTGAGTTTTTTGGCGTTTCTAATCGCACCGTTTTGGCCCTCCAGGGATTTGCATTATCATTAGCAACCACCAAGAACCACTAACCAATGTTTTGTTTTTCTGTTACCAACGCAACCATGAGGATGGGTTTCGCATCTATCATGATCAATTCTGGAATCTATTAACAATCTATAACTATATTGGCATTAAGTATGATCCAATAACCATGATTATTTATTATCTATACCAATCATTTATCCCTAATAACTAATAACAATTTACTAACTAGCTATATTAACCATCTATTATTAACCAAAACTTATGATGATTATTAAACGATTGGTATAACGCCATTTATTGCCTCTATCACCAATAACCCATAGCCGTCTCAGGATAATCATGTATAAGTGTGTATTAACATTATCCAACAGTATCCCACGATATTAACCATTTATATTATTATCATTTGATGATGTGTATGATTCTATGATTTTCTATATTGGAGAATCTGGATAATAGAGTGAGGTCTTTAATTACTTAGCATCTATTGCAATATTGGGTTGTTGTCCATATAATATGGATTGTTACTATATGATTATCTAATCTATGAGTAGATTATTAGACAATTTTACAATCGAACTATTTTAATCCATGTATCCATTATAATAA